AAAAGATATATGCACCCCTCTGTTCATTGTAGCATATTGACAACAGCCAAGACTTGGAAACAATCTAAGTGCCCATTGACAGATGAATGGATAAAGAAGATGTGGTATATATACACAATGGAATACTACTCAGCCATGAAAAAGATGAAATCTTGCCATTTGCGACAACTTGGATGGACCTTGATGGTATTAAGCCAAGAGAAGTAAGTCAGACAGAGAAAGATAAATACCATATAATTTCACTCATATGTGGAAGATAAACAAACAAATACATAGACACAGAGAACAGATTGGAGGTTACTAGAGGTGAAGGGGGGTGGGAAGAGGGCAAAAGGGGTAAAGGGGTACAGGTGTATGGTGCCAGATGGCAACCAGACTTTTGGTGGTGAACATGATGTAGCCCACACAGAAGTTGAAATATAATGATGTACACCTGAAATTTATATAATGTTATAAACCAATGTTACCTCAATAAAAGCAAATAAATAAATAAATTGTAAAAAAAAAATATTCTGCAAGATTCAGTTTGCCAACATTTTATGAAGGATTTTTCCTTCTACATCTATATTCATGGAAGCTAACATTTACTAAGTGCTTACAAAATGCCAGTCACAATTCTAAGCACTCTAAGAGCATTAAATCATGACAACTCTATAAGGTAGGTACTCCTTTTATGTGAGGAAACTGAAGCACAGAAAAGTTAGGTAACTGTTTCAAGATTACACAGCTAGTAAGTGGTGAAGGTAAGAGCACGGGTAAACGTGAGACTAATTAGCAGTTTCTTGTTATGTGGTATTTTTTACTAGGTTTGGATATCAAGGTTATGTTCTTTTTATAAAATGAAACGTGAAGCTGTCAATTTTAATACGCTCTGGAACAGTTTATATAGCACAGGAACTGATGCCAGCCCTGATATCCGTTCCCCTACATTAAACCCAGCACATATGGGGTTAAAACCAAAAACACTCATCCTTTTTCCCTGCTTTTCTAAGTTACATTCATATGTAAATATCAGTTTTTTAAACCTTTGTATCCCTGAACTTCACAAGGCAGATAGAAGTTACAAATTGTTTAAAGCCCAGGTGGCCTCAAGCTGGGCTCACACTGAAGTTTTGGCAAATTACCAGTTCTTGAGGTTTGTTATAGGGAAACTGATATCTAGAAAATATCAGGAAGCTAAAGCTTCTCAGACCTCAACTCCTTGGCTCCCTGGCCCCAGAATTCACCATCCACCACGGAGGCAGACAACCAAGGACGCCCACCTGTGATTCCCTTATCTCACCATCCTCCTCCCTGCCAGCAGCCTCACAAGGCCAAAAGCAGGCTGATGGGAAAACGCTGAGCAGCAAGGCCACAGGCTCCCCCTCCCTACAAGCAGCCACATTCCTCATAACCTTTAAAACTCTTTGCCTCCCATCTTTTGGGGAGATAGGACAAATTTGAGGGCTCACTCTTATCTCCCAGCTGACGTCACCCGAAATAAAAACTGTTTCCTTGCCATAAGCCTGGCGTTCCAGTTTTATTCAGCCCCTCTGTGTGGCGGGTAAAGAACCTGGGTATATGTTCGGTAACAAAACTACATTTCCTTAAAAGTTTGAATCATCAAACCCATAATCTTATCTGAGTTTAAAATTGAATTCAATTTAATTTAACTTTAAAATTTAGACCTATTTTTCTTTTTGTGTGTTTGCCTCTTATATTTTTGTCTACTGTTTGCATGGACTCAAGTGACATGGTTCACAAGCATTCAACTATTTTGGATAGGGCCTAACTATTTTATCTAGTAGCCTAGAGGCCACAACTAATAGTCACAGGGTGGAGGCTGGCCATGCCAGAAAGACTAACTATGTGATTTGACAGGGAGTGGGGACTTGGGGTCACATGACATCAGTAAAACTGGAGACTGAGTTTACGTGGGCAACCAGTCAATGACTCATGCCTAGGTAATGGAGCTCCAATAAAACTCTGAACATCAGGGCCAATATCAATCTCACACATCAATTCAGGAGGGTAATATGTCCTGACTCCACACAGAAAAGAAAATGGAAGCTTCACGTTTGGAACCCTCTGAGACTCTGCCCCATGCACCTCTTCCTTTGGCTGATTTTAATATTTATCCTGTCCCTGTAATACACCATAACTGTGATTATAATAGCTTTCAGTGAGATCTGTGAGTCCTTCCAGCAAATTATCAAGCCTGAGAGTGCTCTGGGGAACCCCCCTGAACTTGCAGTTGGTGTCAGAAGTGAGGGTAGTCTTGGGACTATGCCCTCCAACTCTGTAGTTGGAGTTTAGCTAACTCCAGGTATAGCTAAACCATCCTTTAAAAGGAACAAATGAGAGGCCAGCCTGGTGGCATAGCAGTTAAGTTCCTGCATTCTGCTTTGGCGGCCCAGGGTTCACTGGTTCATTGGTTCGGATCCTGGGTGCGGACCTACTCACGGCTCATCAAGCCATGCTGAAGTGGCGTCCCACATAAAAGAGCTACAACTCTATAACTATGATACACAACTATGTACTTGGGCTTTGGGGAGAAAAAAGACAAAGAGGGGGCCGGCCCCGTGGCTTGGTGGTTAAGTGAGCGCGCTCCACTGCTGGCGACCCGGGTTCGGATCCCGGGCTCGCACCGACGCGCTGCTTCTCTGGCCATGCTGAGGCCGCGTCCCGCATACAGCAACTAGAAGGATGTGCAGCTATGACACACAACTATCTACTGGGGCTTTGGGGGAAAAAAATAAATAAATAAAATCTTTAAAAAAAAAAAAAAAAAAAAAGAAAAAGAGGAAGATTGGCAACAGATGTTAGTGTAGGGCCAATCTTCCTCAAAAAAAAAAGGAACAAATAATTTACTCTCTTCTTACAACAAGAAGTCTAGCTGATCATTTATTAATAAACATTGTCACCATTAAATTTCTTAAATATGATTTACAGAAAGAGATAAGTTAGAAGCAGATAACAGTAATACACAGTTAGAGAGTAAGAGTATATTGTAATTGGCAGAGAAATGGTTTGCTAATTGTCCTTAATGGTTTGTCAAATGTCGGTATTATCCAAGCATTTAATATACGTTGAAACTAGTTACATATGTTTCTCCTCTTCTATATTCAGAGTACCTTGCTGGCAAGATCTTAAGTTATTTACTCTGATAGGCTTTACCTAGGCCTTGACAAATGGTAGGTGCTTAATGTATGTATGACTCACTTAAATCTACATAATGGAATTTGAAGAGTTTCAGAGAGGACTTCAAGCTGGTCACTGGAGGTCTCCAGGTCACTGGAGAATATCTTTTTATTCAAAGAATTAAAATGCCACCACTCAATTTTTTTCCTAATATTTCCAAAAATCCACTGGTGGTAAGCAAAAATCTTTAGAAGTAACACATAGCACTTTAACAATAGATTCATTTCAATTATCAGATTATTTCCTAATTTAGCAGCTCGATAAACTTTGAAATATACTGAGTACCAGGCATGTTTAATGGGAAAAGAACAAGAAAAGCTAGATCTTCTACAGGGCAAAGTAAGAAATTTGAGGAAGGACAGATGAATATGGGTTCTATAGGCTGAGGGACAGGAATGGAATATCATAAAAGCATTGAATACCAAAAGAGGAAAGGAATACTCAATGGAGATAATGTGAGAAAATTCAAGACAACTGGCCAATTTGATAATTTTAAGATCCACCCTCATGAAATCAAGTATTTCATATAACTAATACAATTTATCAACGCAGGAGTCCCAGTGTTATGGTTTCATTAGTGCACAACTTTCTTTACGTCCACGTTATCCTGACAATCTCAATAAAAGGCCCAAGTTTAAAACTAAATTCTTAAATTCGTGCATGCCTGTTTCATCACTCTTTACTCTTCCTCATCTCTTTCTAGAGTTTTTAAGATGTTATGCAGATTTTATGATTTTTAAACTTTGATTTCAATGTAATTGATCATAAAAGAATGTTTTAAAATACATGAAAAAATAAAGAGGAAATCTTAATGTCCAATGTATGTACCCAATTTTAGGATATTTGCTTTAAGAGGTCAGCTTTGATTATTTCTAAGTCCTTTCTATTGGTACTAAAAAAAAAAAAAATGCCAGGTAAGTAATGAGTTTTTAATCAAAATGTATCCTTTATAAAGGTTAAAAGAGTACTCATATATATACTAAGTTAAATATTATAACTTTTTATAGGTTAAAGAACATAAAAACTGTTCAAGTTACTATTATAACATTATTAACAGGTCAAAAGTTATGTCTTAAATTGCTTTAGAAGGGAACAAGGAAAACAACTATAAAAAGTATACATATTTATTTAAAGTATCAAGGTCTTATCTGTTGATGAATCTATTCTGGACCTAGGTCTGAAATTTGTATGCAACTTTTAAAAAGTCTATCCTTAACTGACCATTATCCTTCATCTCTATTTCAGAAAATTCTACCTTTAATTTCTAGTATCTATCACCCATAATTAATCCTAAACATTACCAATAAAGGATGAACAAAAATATGTACTATTTGATATATGACTTTAGGATTTTAAAATATTGATGCAGGAATGAGAAATGCTAAACTTCAAATCATCGACCTCAGGTTCAAGATAGACTTTTAGAACAAGAAGATTTCAGGCTGATTAAACTTAAGTCCTTTGGGATTAGTTCCTATGTAGTACGAAAATAATAATTTAAAGAAAGAAACTATAATACAACATAAAGTAACACACACAGTCTATAGAATAATGGTATAAATAAAAGGATAATAAAATACTAAACAAGCTGGTAAAAGATTAATCATATTATAAAGAAGAGAAAAAGAAAAGAGAAAATAATTTTCTTATAAGAGTTGGAGGACAGGTTTCAGGAGAGAGGGAGAACCAGACAGAAAAGAACGAATTTCATAAAGTTCTGGAATAAGCTCAAAACGCAAGAACTGGTTCTAAATAGCTGGTTCTAAACAGCTAAATAGCTGTTAAGTTAAATAGCTGTCTTATAGACTTGAATTGTGTACCTCATTTTCCGTTCCCACATCCAGAATGACAGGTAGACATTCTTGAGGATTCATCCCTCCACAAGCCGTATACAGAGCCAATTTACCCACAGGGATGCCCATTCCATTACAGCCGAGGTCTCCCAAGCCAAGAATACGCTCTCCATCAGTCACCACCACAGCCTAGAAGGAAAAGAAAAAATATCCACTAAGAGGTGTTCACAGATCCTAGGGCACAGTTCCTGGTCTCTATTTCTGAAGTTAATACTTATGGTATTGAAATGTTAAGCTGTCAAAAAAACATAATTGAATATACATGGAAAAGATTTTATATGACTATAAATGTGGAAGAGTGAGGAGAAAAAATACATTTGATATATATTTTATATTTTGTTAAAAATACATATATATGATTAATTTAGTTGTTGAAAAAAGAAAAGAGGGTAAGCACATAAAGATTCAAACAACCCAAATAACTCAGTCTTCAATCAAGAGGAGCAGTGGGAAGACTACAGAGAAATAAGAGCTCAAACTGGGAACTAAAGTGAAACAGAGCAGCTTTAAAACTAGTCCCATCCACTTTGAGCACAATTACAGGAGTGTCCATATTTAAGTAACCCATAATAGCTCAGAGCCCCCAGATGTTCTGATCTTTAGTTTATGCATCTTGGCACCATCCACCTATTTTCACAACAGTGTTGACCCATCCTCTTTAACTCCCATAACCACTTCATATTGTTCTACTATCTTTGAAATATGCCCAGTACAGTCTGCTAGTTCTCCTACATGATAATCTTCCACTAGACCTACTGAATTTTGTTTATTTCTAATCACCTTGAATATCTATGAAGCATACATTTTAACCATGTGGAGATTTTAATTCTGTGTAACACCTTTATTGAAATTAATGCATCTAACATCTTTATTGTGTGATTCATGGCCATTATATGAGTTTAAGCAAAACCAGTCTTGTGAAACACAATTTATTAGATTTTCTACAAACTGCTACACCGGTCATATCCATGCAGCCTTGGAAAAACGTTAGTTATTTGACCTCGGATACACCAATGAATTAAACCTTCTGTTTCTTATTTGTAAAATGGGATAATAAATGCACTTTTCAGAGTAGCTGCATAAAATTAGGAACCAACTCTGTTTTGCTCTCTTCTGTGCACCAGCACCTAGCACAGCATTTGGCACACAGTAAACAATCAATAAACATTAGTTAATTGACTAAATCTAGGATTCAATAAAATGAGATCATGACATTCAATGAACTTACCACAGTATCTGGGACATTACAAGTTCTCCAAAACTTGTGGCTATGAATACTATTATTATCATCAGGACTAATGGACAGAGTTATTAGCATTTTAGAAGCCGAGGGGAATTTAGAGTACATTCAGTCCATCCCTCTTATTTTAGATTAGGAAACTGAAGATCAGAAATAATTGCCTAAGGTGATTTATCTGGTTAATATCAAAGAACAAGAACCCAGGTATGCTATGTCCTAGGACAGTGTTTTTCCAGCATACTATATTGCAGAACATATTTAAAAATATATTTTGAGATCTCTTCATTTAATTTTCTGTTCATGTATATTATGCAGCTCTCAAAGAACTACCTTAAAAGTAAACACATTTGAGAGGTGGGTGAAAATTATCTTTGCATATTCCATAAAGCTTATATATGTTCCACGTCTAATTGCAAAGGGTCAATATGTTATGCTGTTTTGGAGAAGGCAACTTGATACCACTGGGTTGGCTGGCTCTGATTTAAGATAAGAAATATAATCAAATACTGCAGAAAACTATACCTTTAGTTTTTTAATTAAACTAAAGCCAAATTTTCAAAGTACAAATACTTCAAACATATTTAAGGGACATTATTTTATTTATTGTGCTATCAAAAATAGTAGTACTTTTATATATCATCAATAATGTATACTTTTGTGAATGTGTTTCTTAAACAAGTACAGTCCAATTGGTCTGCATATACTTTTAAATATTTTTATGAGATATTTTATAAAGAGAGCAACATCATCACATAACTTAGTCATGATCTGAATAATAATTTATATAATGCTTTCCGGGTTTCATTAAAGATGCTTAAACCCAGAGAGTTGCTATTTGTAATTTTCATCAGTTTCAAATTTTTTGAAAAAGAGGTTTAAAAGAACATAGCATTTTCATTTATTTTTGATAGTACATCTGTTAAACTAATATTGTTAAAGACATTAAATACGTCTTGAATACAAAACCAAAGAAAAGTATTATTTTTTTTCGTTTCTTTGTAAATTTTATTCCCTAAGCTCTTCTCTCATCTCAAGCTAGCAATTTACTTATATAAATATACTGTGGACATTTACATAGGTGAAAGTTGTTTGAGTAATTTTTTTGTGTGTCTGAGGAAGATTGGCCCTGAGCTAACATCTGTCACCAATCCTCCTCCTTTTGCTGAGGCAGATTAGCCCTGAGCTAATATCTGTGCCCATCTTCCTCTATTTTGTATGTGGGATGCCACCACAGCATGGCTTGATGAACAGTGCCTCGGTCTGTGCCTGGGATTCGAAACTGTGAACCCCAGGCCGCCAAAGCAGAGCGTGCAAACTTAACCACTACACCACCAGGCCGGCCCCTTGAGTAATTTTTAAATTCTGTTTTGAGGCAGTTGATATTTTAGCTCAGTTTATGTTTTATTACAAAAGTACATGTGTAGCATTAATTCACAAACATTTCAACATTAAAGAGTGGATTTTAATAGAGAAGGAATCCTCTAAAATAAAAAAAAATTGTGATATGTATGCAGTTAATCACTAAATTAACACTCTCTTGGTTTTATCTTTACCCACGTTATCTCCTCCTTAAGAAAAGTAAAGCATTGGATGTTTTCTGTATAAGAAAGTTACAACAGCAGGATTATCTCAGTAAGACAACCACAGTTGTATCAATGATGTCTGTGTTTCAGAAATCAAATCTTCATCCCTCTGTATCAATTACTATCTGAGCATTAACTGAATAACACCTTTCTGTATGAAATATGCAGGGGTTCCCCTGACCACCGACAGACTCTCCCTATGTGGCGCCTCTTCATTCCTTCTTTTCCTTTCCCAGGGCCTGCACTCCTGTTGTAGCCTTCTTGGATACAGAACTCTTGCCTCTTTTTCTTCTCTCTCTGATGAACCTTCCTCAAATATTACTTATATAAAGTCATTCCCTTGTTTAAATATGACATTCTACTTTTTTAAGTCTAAATTCCTCTCTCTGAATTTCAAGACCTTTCATAATCAATTGATCATCTCTTACTTAATCTTAATTCCACTACATTTCAATATTGACACTTAGCTTTAGTTGGGCCAGCCAATTTCCTTATTGCACAAGAACACACCATTCTTGTCCTGAACTTGATACCTACATTTACATGTTCCCTTCTTACGGTAGTATCGTCTTCCCTTTCTAATTATCAAAAGGCTAGATTCAAGTTCGAATTTTGCTAGAAATATTTCTGAACTGTTCCAGCCTTCTTTGAATGATATTCTCCTCTGAATGGATGAATATGGCACTAATAATTTATACCAGAGAGTTTAATTATATGTTGTCTAATAATTGATTGCCTTGGTTTCATGTGTGCTTTCAACTACACAGTAGAGACTATATCTTATTTGTCAACATTCTATTACAATAAACAGCTGCCATTTACTAAGTGCCTACTACTTACCAGACACTATGCTAGGCTTTTTAAATAACAGTAGATATAGTCAGGATCAGGAATATCAGAGGGCCCAATATTAAAGAGTTAAAGGGATATGGGATATGAAGGAAGTTAAATATTCAGAGATCAGCTGGTAGGAAGAAGAAGAAGCATGTGACTGCTTATTGCCTAGCTGTTATTAGAAAGGTTTTTTTTGAGGAAGATCGGCCCGGCGCTAACTTCTATTGCCAATCTTCTTTTTCTTTTTTTTCCCTCCCCAAAGCCCCAGTACATAGTTGTACATCCTAGTTGTAGAGTTGTAGCTCTTCTATGTGGGATGCCACCTCAGCATAGCTTGAGGAGCAGTGAGTAGGTCCATGACCAGGATCCGAACTGGCAAACCCCAGGATGCTGAAGTGGAACTTGCGAACTTAACCACTATGCCACCAGGCCGGCCCCTCCAGAAGGATATTAATTAGACCCCTCTACCCTAAAACTATTTCCTATATTGACTCATTCTTAAAATCCTCTGAGAGTCCTGGTTAAAATGTAAGTATCCTTCTTCTTAGAGGATCAGATATTTACATTTCGTAGAATTAACACATTTTTAGGGTAGTTCCTAAGGACAGGATCTGTGGACAGCGCACTTGATGGGAGAAAAGGTGAAGGAGCAACTTAGGTGGGGCAAGTGGAAAAACTGGGAAGACTGCAAGCAATGAAAAACACCTTGCTTTATGAGTTTGCCTAGCCTGAGCCTTAAAGAGCCGAGTGAATCAATTCTAGCCACAAGTGCTCAAACAGAAAAGATCATTAAGGGAGTCACACTTCAGAAGTCACAGCTGAAGTGCTTTTGTACCACTAAGAGGCATCAATTTACTCAATCTTAGTCCTCAAAGATACCCCAAAGTTGCTGGGCACCTAACAGAAAGGAAAAAGGGAGCCAAGGAGGGGATAAGTACATCTCACTATCCTCACAAGGAAGGTGGCAGCGCACCCAGTTTAAGAGCAAGGGCTCTGAGGCCTGCATCCAATTCCCACCACCACTGGGCACTAATCCCCCTGTGCAACCCACCTGTGCCTGCCTTTCCTCGCTGAAGTATCAGGATAATACGAGAGGTGATCCAGGTAGTGTCTCACACAGAAAGCTACCAAATGTCACATACTATTGTTATTTTATTTTCATTATCTCACTCACAGAGGGAAGTCAGATGAGCTACTTAAGGTCACAATGATAATGGAAATGAATTAACAGATTTTTTTGCCTACCTGGATTCCTCTTAGTAGATAATTAAACACAGAAGATATGACAAAGGAGTTTGCTTAAAGAAATACAGACATTCAGACACTACTTCAACAGTTATTCAACATTTATCATCACTTACAATGAATAAAGAAATAATAAGAAATTTGACGGAAATAATGGGGAAACAGTATCTAAATAGAATCAGACTAAAATTACAGTTGGCCCTCCATATCCACAGGTTCTGCATCGGCGGGATTCAACCAACCCCAGATGGAAAGGCTTACGATGTTTGCGTCCGTACTGAACATGTGTAGACTTTTTTCCTTGTCATTATTCTTTAAACAATACAGCATAACAACTATTTACATAGCATTTACATTGTATTCTGTATTATAAGTAATCTAGAGAGAATTCAAAATCTATGGGAGGATGTGCATGGGATATATGCAAATACTATGCCATTTTATATAAGGGACTTGAGCATCCATGGATTTTGGTATCCACGAGGGTCCTAGAATCAATCCCCCCAAGGACACCGAGGGACAGTTGTAATCCACTATGCAAAAATCAAAGGGATATAAATTAGGTGACATTCACTAGAATAGCTAGTGAACGCTACCTAACATCTTGAAAATTGTCAATATGTTATGGGACAGGGAAAAGAACAAATTCCCCATAGTAGAAAAATGTGACAACTTACCTTGATGACATCTTCTGGCCATGCGTTAAGAATTGAAGCAATATGCCCTCGATCATGGATACTAATAAAGAGACCTCTGACAGAAAAAATGGAGTAGTTTTAATTTACTTCAGACTTGTCAAACTGTCATGAACATTTAAAAATTTTTTCACATCAGTTTAATATATGCCCATTTTTATCAAACTAGTGAAATTATTTGCTTAAACAAATAAGGGATAGGAATCATATAAGTAAAGGAGAAATTACTGTAAACAATATCTTGACATCTATAATAAAGGTAGGTTCATTCTTATATTACATATTCTTAAGTATTTTTTAATTAAAGAAACATTCACTATTTTTATATACAGAGAATTTAAATAGTATTAGCAATTCCACTCATAGACTCATTTACAGTCTGTAATTAAATAAGATAATATATGTAAAAGCACTTTGAAAAACAACATGAAGCATATGTAAACAGGCATTTTCAGTGTATATTCCATTTATTACATATTCACAGTGTAAAGAGGAGAACATGTATCAGAGACGGCTGAAGTGACTGACTAATGCTGAGCAGTCCTTTCATGTGGAACTTGATTCTTTGACCTGCGGTCTTAGCTGCTGTTTGCATCTCTGTTATTTAGACTCTCAACTCAAGTCTTGAACACTGCTCTCCCTTGCCCCCCATTTCCTATAAAAGCCTAACAAGTAACTTTAAAAATTAATATAAAAAAATATTAAATGTCTTAACGTCACTTAAAAGTTTTACCTTAGTATTGTTAAATATAACTCAAATACAGAGAACCACATACAACAAATGTACAGCTTAACAAACTGTTTAAGGCAACCACCCTTCTATATAACATCCACTTCAGCAGAGAGAATCTTGTCAGTTACCGAGAAGCCCTCCACGTGTTTTCTCCCAAACGAGAACCCCTCCCTTCTAAGAGTAACCACTATCCTGACTTTCATGGTACCATTTCCTTAATTTATAGTTTTATCATCCACATGATAAACCATCCCCAGACACTACTGTTTATTTTGACTGGTAAAGTCTCCCACAATCTGAATTTTGCTGATTGTATCCCTATGGTATAGATCAACATGTTAATCTCTCCTCTGTGTTTCTTGGGAAGTTGGTAATTGAATCTAAAGGCTTAATCAGATTCATGTTCAATTTTTTAAAGACACTCATGGTTTGGTGTTATCAGAAGATGTGTAATATCTTGCAGTCCTTTTTGTCATTTTAGCAGCTACTGACGGTTAACAACTAAATTCATTAGGGGTTACAAAATGGTGACATTTCAATTCTACCTATCACTCTTTATTTATTTGCTGGAATACTTCTTTAAAGAGAAATTTCACCACATCTATTCTTTGATTACTTAATGGTAAAGCAGATATGAGAAAATGATAAATGCTTGATTATTTCTCTTTACTTATCAGTTTTTAAAATAAACTGCTCATTTGCTAGCATCCTTCAAGAGTTTCCACTAAGTTTTATGTCCGTGTATGTGTGTGTTTTGGATCAATATGATCTCACAGATTTAAACATATTTGATGTTCTAATCCATCACAATTTTCTTTATTGACACTCAAATTGTCCCAAATTTAGCCAGTGGAACACTCTTCATGTTGGCCCCTCAGTCCTTTTGACATGACTATAGTAGTTTTTGACAGCTCCCATTTTCTCTGTTACGACAAGACATTCCATTTTGTCTCGAAAATGTCTGCCCCCAACCTGAAATGAGCCATTTCTCTAAGAAGCCCTGCTTTCTTTTAATACAAAGTGTTATTTCAAGACCACAATCTAAGTAATAGGGATCCCTACTGCTATTATTTGGTCAAAGTACTGTTATAAAAAATCACAAAACAATGTTGATAAGATTCACTTCCTTTTTATGGCCAGAAATCTCAAATTGACACTCTTCTCTTGTAAAGTTTACCACCATGATTTCCCAGAAAATTTAAATTACCACTCTCTGAGAGGACCATTTCACACCTTCTCTTTTCTCCTCACCTCTCCTACACCCATCTCCCTGTCACTCTCAGTTGATAACCAAATCTTAAACTTCAAACAGAAACAGATACAATAGGGTAAAAACTACCTCATCTTTCTAATATAAACCTCACTTAACCCATCTGCATCTTTTTTTTAAATCAACTATTTTTTAGAGCAGTTTTAAGTTCACAGCAAAATCGAGCAAAAAGTACAGAGATTCCCCACATACTACTGTCCCCACACATGCACAGCCTCCACCTTTATCAATATCCCCCACTAGAGTAGTACATTTATTACAACTGATGAGCCTACAATGACACTCATTACCACCCAGAGTCCATAGTTTACATTAGGGGTCACTCTTGGTGTTGTACATTCTATGAGTGTGCACAAATTTATAATGACATGTATCCACCATTATAGTATCATACAGAGTAGTTTCACTGCTCTAAAAATCCTCTGTACTCCACCTATTCATCCCTTCCTCCCTCACCCCAGCAACCACTGATCTTTTTACTGTCTCCATAGTTTTGCCTTTTCTAGAATGTCATATGGTTGGAATCATACAGTATGTAGTCTTTTCAGATTGGATTCTTTCACTTAGTAACATGCATATAAGATTTCTTTATGTCTTTTCATGGCTTAATTCTTCATTACTTTTTAGCACTGAAAAATATTCCATTGTCTGGATGTACCAGAGTTATTTATCCATTTACCTACTTAAGGACATCTTGGTTGCTCCCAGGTTTTGACAATTATCAATAAAGCTGTTATAAGCATTCGTGTGCAGGTTTTTCTGTGGACATGATTTTTCAACTCTTTCAGGTAAATACCAAGAGCATGATTACTAGATTTTATGGTAAGAGTATGTAGTAGTTTTGTAAGAACCCACAAACTGTCTTCCAAAGTGGCTGTACCATTTTCCATTCCCACCAGCAATGAATGAGAGTTCCTGTTGTTCCACATCCTCGCCATCGTTTGGTGTTGTCAGTGTTCTCAATTTTGGCCATTCTAACAAATGTGTAGTGGTATCTCACTGTTGTTTTCATTTGTATTTTCCTGATTACATACAATGTGGAGCATCTTTATATACGCTTATTTGCCATTTGCACATTTTCTTTGGTAAGGTGTTAAGATCTTTGGCCCATTTTTTAAATCTGGTTGTTCGTTTACTTACTATTGAGTTTTAAGAGTTCTTTGTATATTTTAGATAACAGTCCTTTATCAGATATGTCTTTTGTAAATATGTTCTCCCAGTATGTGGCTTGCCTTTTAATTCTCTTGACAGTGTCTTTCATAGAGCAGCAATTTTTAATTTTAATGAAGTCCAGCTTTCATGGATCCTGCCTTTGGTGTTGTATCTAAAAAGTCATGGCCATACCCAATGTCATCTAGATTTTCTATGTTATCTTCTAGGAGTTTTATAATTTTGTGCTTTACATTTAGGTTTGTGATCCATTTTGAGTTAATTTTTGTGAAGCAAATAAAATCTGTTTAGATTCATCTTTTTGCATGTGGACGTCCAGTTGTTCCAGCATCGTTTGTTAAAAAGACTATCTTTTCTCCATTGTCCTGCCTCTGCATCTTTTTTCACATCCTCTGCCTTCCCTCCTGTTATAATGGAAGAAATTTCCTATTATGAAGGCCATTGCCTCACTTATGCTCTGGATCCCATCCTATCTTAGCTTTTCAAAGGCTTCACTCCTGCAGTTATCCCATCTCTATGCGACATCATCACTTTCTCTCCCTCCTCTACCAGATCATTCTTATTGGCATAACCTGCCCTAATATTATCCATCTTCTAAGAAGACTGGATTTTATTCCCTACTCTCCCCTCCTTCATAGCAAAACCCTTCAAAGATTTGTGTATTCTTATTTTCTCTATTTCTTTACCTCCCATTCTCTTGTCAATCTGTTAATTAGGCTTTTCTCCCCACTTCTCCACAGAAACAACTCTTACCAAAGTCGCTGATGACTGACATCTGACTAAAGGCAGAAGTCAACTCCCAACTCTCATCTTACTTGACTTCTCACGTGTGTTGGACATGGATTTAAGTATCACGTTCATAATGAAGAACTTCTATCTTCAACCTAGACCACTCCCTTGAGCTCCAAACTGCAAATATAACCACCTACTTAATTTCTCTCATCATTCAAGCCTCAACTCAAACCTTAGTTCCTCAGACAGACCTTCTCTCATAACAGCATCAAAGCATCTCCACTCTAACATTTTTATCGTCTTCATAATACTTATAAGGATCTGAAATTATCTTATTTATTTTTTTCATATGTTTACTGTCTATATCCTCCCTGCCACCACCCCCAGTACACATATACACATAAAGCAACAAGTTCCATAAGTACAGAGACTCTGTTTTGCTCACATTTGTAACCCTGATGCCTGTAAGTGTGCTGGCACATGGTATGTGTCCAACAATATGTGCTGACTTCAGTGCTGAAAAAATAAGCCTTCTATAATCATATTTTTTAAAAGTACAGAAAACATGAAAGAAACCTAGACTTATACTGACTTATTAAGTAACCAAAAATTATATTATGATAGTAAGTGCTACAGGCAGATTACTGATGACTGTCTGACTCAACAAAAATATTAATTTACCAAGTTGGCACTAAATTATATCCTTTCCTCTTTTTTTTGCTGTTTTATATGAATTTATTTTGTTTCTCCAAAATGATTATAAGCTCTTTATAAGTTACATATTTCTTTTGGATCCCTGTCATATCCAACCATGCAATCAACAAGGTCTCAATAAATAATTGTAAAATTAAAATGAAATATATTTGGAATTTTTAAAGAAAGTAATTTTTTTGAATTATCTAAGTGTTCTTGGCAATATACCATTAAATAATATTTCTTGGGAACTTGTTAGTTAGCCAAGGTTTTCCAAGTAACACTGGTCTCAGGAAACAGTATCATTTTTTTTAAAACAAGAGGTACAATGAATAAGACTAAAATTTACATAAATTAAATGCCAAGGTTTATTATACAAACATATGAGTACAATTTCAGTGGGAGAGCCATTTGGCTACCTGTAATCTCTAGCACTGAGCAGAGATTCATTTGGGGTAAA